ATACCGTTGCGGTGTACCAAGTGCTCGATCGACCGATTTCGTTGTACCGATCGGTAGACGTGACACTTTGTGCCTCCCCAAATACACATGCATTAGCCGCCCGTCCAATTTATATATATATATATATATATACTCGATTGTTTACTCGTTTCTCGTTATTGGGGAGAGTGGCCCATGGCTCCCAGAAGTTAAAACTCGATTGTGTACGGGTGACGAAAAGTAAAGGGGGGCCCTTGGCTTCCAAGTTCGCGCGAGACGTGTGCTTTGGTCACAGCCGTGGTGAAATACATTCATCGCGCGCTAAAAAAGCACGCCGCATCCTCGGCTCATAATCGAAGGAAAAAACACACGCCACGCAATCGTCAAAGAGGAGATTGTCGCGTGTCTGCACGTGTGCTTACATACATGTACTTACCGAGGGATTTTGCAAAATCCGTTTTCGCAAGACCATCTACGCGCACGACAAACGCAAACACACACGTACCCAGGAATATGCCTGGTTATAAATGTAGTAGGCGACTTTGTTGTATACCAGCTGGTTGTCTACACACACAGCTACTCGCACACATATTTCTAGTTTTCCACTCTCCTTTTCCTCCTCCTCCCTCGTAGGCATATATACGCACACGAACGCGGGAGCTGCTCTAAAGCCTATACTCCCTTATTTCACAAAAGCCTCTGTTTAGGCATTGCGGTTCATTTGTACGCGTATACGTGTATGACGTGGTTGGGTGTGTGTATATACGCATACTACAAAGAAATCAGGTTTGCTCTGCTGCTGCAGTGCCGATGACACTTTGATGCCATCGTGGTGGCGTATATGTATGCTGTATCCCAGAGGCCATTGCATGTATACCCATTTGGCTGCTGGCCCCTGGAAATTTATCACTCGAACGTTGTACTAGTACTTACGTACATGCATATTTTTTATGTGTTTCTTTTACCTATATACGTTCGATATATGTGTGTACATTTGTATGGGTATGGGTTTCATCCATACAATCCGTCCACGTGTATACTTGGTACAACTACCACCTACTAATCTCTGTCAACATCGAGTATAAACTAAGTAAGAGGACTTTGAGCTCGTATACACGTAATGGCATAAAATATAATTACTGTACAGGAATTTTATAAGCAATGACGAAAATTCATTTTTCTTTTTCGACAAATATTGTTTTTTTTTTTTTTTTTTGGTAAACGACATGCACCCCTACGAGAATGTTGTCACTCGTCTTACCGAAAATTTCCATCGCAACCAAAGTCTCATCCCAATAGTCGTATACGTATACACAATAGAAACGTAAATTCGCTCCGTGTAGCAATCTGAAACAGCGCCACCTGCATGGGTAAAAACGGTGGTACTTACTCATAAAAATAACATAGTATCTTATGGCCCATGACGCTTTATACATTAACGGACCACTAAGTAGAGTTTTTTAGTGTTTTTATTAGGTTTCGAGCCAACAGTAATTATTTCACTGCTTTATGCTGAAAAACAAAATTTTTTCCATATTAGAAGTACATGTGCTTTAATGAGTATACGTATGAACAATTTTTCCCGTTGGTGGCGCTGTTTCAAAGTGTTGAACGGAGCGAATACGTGATTTTCTCTCCACGGGCTCGTGAAATAGTTACGCGCACCAGCAACGAGACGATGGCCAGAGGGTTCGCATGTATGGGCGGGAGGGGTGGGATTTAAAAAATAACTCACCTATCAGCGATTCAGGCCCGCAGCCGAGTGGGGCTTGACCTACATTTTATCTCCCTTAGCCGTAACGTACACGGAACTTAATTGTCTGCTGATGCAAAAACAAACACAAAATACGCTTATGTCATACTTGGATCTGGAATCTACTCTCTTACTACCCCAAAGTTTTTTCAAAAATACCATTACGCCTACTTATGTAAGGGGGGCTACTTTGATTAATTAACTGTGGTCGAGAAAAGGAAAAGCTTTCCACCGCAACGAAACAAAACTTGCGGTATTTTTCGAGCCACGCGTGAAACGGCATACACCCGACGTAAATGTTTCGGGTCGAGCTCTTCTACGCGCGCGTGGCTCCTTAATGTACTTAATTGACGTTAATTAGCCCGGGATGTACCGCGGTGGGGTGGTTGTTGTTGTTGCGAGTAGGTGTATAATTAATAGCGCGGGGGAGGGGGAGGGCCATTAGCGTGTAATTTCAGACGAAACTCTAAAGTGCTTGTGTCTGGTTAATGTGACGATTTTCATCACCTTTTCGATTAAATTAACAACGTCATTTGTGCCAAAAAAGCGAAAAAAAGGAACGGAAAAATAACTGCGCTCGCAAGGAGCTTTTTGTGCAGCGATGTTTTATTCAGTGGGAGATAAATTAATAATCCATCTCGTTTATGAAAAAAATATTCGAGCTCCGCCGAGTCCTCTCTCGCCTTTATTTTTACATACAATCGTATAGGTACAGCTAATTGGAAAATCGAATTTGCAAAGATGCCGCTGGTTTTAAGGTCACTAGGTGAGCGAGTGAAGATAAGCGCGCGGAAGCTCTCCGGATTTTCAAAGTGGCTCCTTTGACGCTTTCCTCCCCCCTCGAATGGATTTCCAGGGCTAAAATACTCGGCTCCCCCCCTTTGAACGTCTCAATTTTTTTATTCTCCTCCTCCTCCTCCCTCTGCACTTACGAATGCCTCTTTGGTCGACCGAGCCGCGGCGCAAAAATCAAACTCCGATGTAACTCAAACTCCTTATAACTTTAAAAGACGCGAATTGAAGCCATAGAGCGACACTATGTCCTTTCTTTCCCTCCCTAGCGACCCCCGTCGCTGTTTAATAATTTTGCCGGCAGCGCGAAAAGTGACGTTAATTAAATACACGCCCATCCCTCTCTCTCTCTCTCTCTCTCTCTCTGGGGGGGATGGTTAAAAACTTTCCAATTAACATAATTGAAAACGAAGTTAGCAGTTCCTCGGGAGGGGAGAAAAGGAAAGAACTTTGTTGGCCCAGCGAGGGAGAAATAAGGCACATACACACGGGAACTGGCTCAATACACCCGCGCGCACGGATTACTTTACTCCGGCTCTGTGGAATTTGTATTCTTTTTTCGGTAGGAGTTTTGCGAAATTCCTGGCGATTTTTTTATCCTCGCTCGGTGAATGTTATATGTAACTTCTCTCTCGATGAGCAACAACGAAAATCACCGACCTCGGGTAATTTGGAAAACTACCCCCCCCTGTTCTCCCTCTTCCACGAACACACGAGAGCTTTACAATGTGCATCAGCCATAGCACACGCGTGTTTGCGCGGCTATTGATTTCAAGAGCGGGTCACGTGACCGGCCGCATTTTGGCGTACAGCCTATATTATATATATGGTGAGCCCCTGAAAACACATCGAATCGGCAAATACTCCCCGTGTTCGGGGAAAAAATATTTACAGATGCAAAACCGGGGGGGAGGGGGAAAGAAGCTTGAGTGCGCGTGAAAAATGTAACCCTTGGATTAATACCTATATACATGCTCTGCTGATAAATCGAAAAGCCTATAGGGGAAGGTGATATTTCGTATTCGAAGTGTATCCATATGTTATACCATCGAGTGAGCGAGGGGTGATGACGGTATGCATGACGCGAGGGAGGAAAATATGGGGAAAATCCGATCGTTTTTCCCCAAAGGGGGGGGGGAGATGATGGAGAAGGTGCGACCGTTACAAACGAGCAGCTAAACGCTCCGGCCTTCGCGACACGATGCACGTTAATTATTGCGCGTGTCGTATAAGTATACCTGTACACACGTGTGTATACAACGTACATCGAAGAGCGATCGGATGGATTAGCGGTTGTATGGCGTACATTATATATAATCAATGGTTTTTTCCTTTCGCGCTGCCGTGTGACACGCGCCGATGGCTGGTATGTATGTAATATACTGTATGGCTCGCTGGTGCAAAATGACCTAGTTTGTAAACGAGAGATGACGCGTACCTCAGTTACAGTGATTACGAGACTTTGCCGTTGGTTGATCATGTACACTTGTTTTTTTTTCCACGTTGGTGAACAAAAAAAAGAAAATGTCACGATTCTATCTCTGATTTGCTTGTACATCGGAGTTGGAGGACGTGATTTTGTCTCGGTACAGGCAACCAATAAAAAAAATATCGACGGTCCGAATGAACCTAATTATTTCATCCTTACTGGGTAATTTTCATTTTCTTTTTCAAAAAATAACGTCATATTGGATTACGAAGCCTATGAATGGCGACTCTGCCAACGAAACGAGGGAGCGCATTTTTATTTTTTTATTTTTTCACTCGCGACTCTCCACAGTAAATAATCGATGGGATTTTAAAACAAAAGGTTCCTCTGTTTGATTTGGTCGGTTCTCGAGCGAAGAGCCAAGGAAGAGAAAAAGGGCCAACTTTCGCGAGAAGAATTTTTCAAGAAAAGAAAACTTTCCCGGAGTTTTGGACAATTAGTCACTCGCGGCAGGTCTAATGGAGTGCGGGTAGTCCTCAAAATGAACAGCCACGACCCTTTGATGACTCACAAATATCAAACATGCTCAAGGCAATGCGTCGGTACATCCGAAAATTGCCATCTCGAGGGTGGTTTTCCCACTCGGCCTTGGGAGCGTTTTCGCGAGCGTCGGCAGTTTTCGACGATCGATCTACATCTCGCCACCAGCTGCAACTACTACCTCGGCACACATTTTTTAAGCAAAACCCGCGCGCGTGTATTGATTTCGAGTTTACGCCGGAGAGTCTTTGCATTTTCGAGAGAGTTGACATCAGGGAAAAGCTCGATACGAACATTATTTTAGTCTCGCTACTTTTGCCAGCTCCTCCCGAGGACGGGAAATAAACGTTCATTCTTCCTGTAGGCCCTGTATTTCAATCTATACCACTTCCCCCCTTGGCAAGAAGGGAAAATAAATGAAAGGAATGACACGGTTTCTTCCCTCTTCCCCCCCGAAAAAAGTGTACCAAAAGTCGCAGTATCTCACACTGGTTTTCCCTTCCGTAGCCAAGGTAAGGAGAAGAAGAAGAAGAAGAAGAAGAAGGAGCGGCAGTAGGCAGAGCCAGAGCGGCAGAGGCGGGCAAAATGGCTTCGGGCTTCCCGAGCGCTCATCGGAGGAAGCTTGGACCGGCGCCGATCGCATCGTTCGAGGACCTTTCCGATGAGAACGTGAGTCCATCTCGTACACCTTTTATTCTCCGCTCCCCTATTTTTTTCTTTTTTTTTTCCCACCCCATCAGCTCCCTTTTTTTTCGTCCCAAGCTCCATGAACCAGACATATAAATATATAATACATTGGTACCTATACGAAGTTTTTTTTTTTTTTTTTTCCTATCCTGCTACGGCACGGGATTCACGGTGCGCCCCACTTACGTGATTGACAAAGCCGTTTCGTGAAGTCGGGTATTACCTCTCGCTCTTGCAAAATCAGGCAGTAAAAGCAAAAGTAACGTATCAGCGACAGACAAGTTTTTTTCAAGTTGGCTTTTCAACTGCAGTTACACTCTTTTTCCTCTAAAAACTTTTCGACCTTTACGGAGATTCAGTCCGTTTTTACAATCACGCGTATATACATATGTATAATAATACTGTCAAACATCCGCAATTACAAGTGATTTCTCTCATCGGACGACGAAATAATAACGTAACGACACGAGGATAAACACTCGCCTATACACTTGATACCCTTGGGATTGCGCGACGGGATGGAAAATCCTTGATTCGTCGCCTATACCGTTTTCGCACTATAATTATCATCGTCACGCGGACGTCAACACGTATAAATTACACCTTGATGTATATAAAAAAAAAAAAAAAAGCGTACGTGTCAGAGTCACTCTGTTCCCCCTAAACGTACATGACACACGCATTGGCAGGGCGGCGAGCCGGTGTCCCGGATGCCGGGTATCCTCGAGGTGGCCACCCCGGCGGGTTCGCTCAAAACCCCGAGCACACCGCGGATCGACATTAGCCGCGCGAGCAGCTCGTCCCACCACGAGGAGGACAGCAACTCCCGGGAATCGACCCCCGAGAAGGAGCTCCTCGCCGGCAACGGGCCCCCCGAGGGCTGCAAGCTCCAGTTGGGCTACAAGGAGGACGCGGCCGACCTACGCTCCTCCACCGAGGAGCTTGACCTCCACGACCCCGTGCACGAGCAGGACCTACGCCGCGAGTCCAAGAAACCGAAGAGGCGGGCCCACAGGGACCTCCACGACGGAACCCAGTCCGAGTACGGGGTGAGCATAAGGCTCCAGCAGTCGGAGCGCGAGAGGAAGGACAGCAACTGCAGCGAGATCATACTGCTCAACATAAGCGGCCGCACCTCGAGGCTTTCATCGGTCGGTAGCCAGGGCTCGGGCGTCTCGGCGGGCGGCCTCTCCGCCGTCTCGGCCACGTCCTCCAGGTATATACGCGTCCTCCTCTCCCTACACTGATACATACCAATGAGCCTCTATTGTCATATACCTGGTGGTGGGCAGGTCGCCGAGTCCGCACAAGTGTTTGCTCGAGACGTCGTTTTGCGGGAGCGTGTCGGCGCTGGATGCGACCCTCATCGAATCCTCCAAGCTGGAGACGGACGACCTGGCGAGGGTTCTGCTGGAACGCGAGGAGGACTCGACCCGGGCCCTCATACCCGAGAGCGTGCGCGTGCCCATTGTCGGGGGTAACATCAAGCCTGACCCGCTGGACATGCCCAGGAGGCGGGGCCGGGAGGAGCGCAAGGAGGCTTTCAAGCGCGAGGTCGAGATCACCAAGAGGGTCCTCAAGCGGGTCAACATCGAGGTGAGCCGGAAAAAAAGGGCTGATTCTCGGGACTGAAGTCTTGTACCGCTATATATGAGTTGAAAAAAAAGAAAATTAATTTCTTCGATCCAAACGCGCGTTTATTTGGGCTGTAACTTCACAAAAGGGGTGGTCGAAGGACAAATAATTAATTGACACAAGTACTTGATGGTCAATTGGTTTGAGTACGAGATTCTCGTTTTCACCGGGACAACGTTGGATTGTCTTTGTCTCGCTAACGTTACAACAGAAATAGTATACAATTCACCGCAATTTGAGTGCAAACAAGAAATATTTATTCACATTCATTCGAAAATCGAATGGTACATCAATTTGAATCAAATTGATTTTAACGTGGGGGTAAATGAGAGTATTATTGTGGTTTTTTTTTTTTTTTTTTTTTTTGTAATGGTGAGCTTTAAACGTTTATCTAAGAAATCATTTGTGATATACTTTGTAATGCAAACGTAAAGTTTTAAACGTTATTTTGGAACTAAAGTTCGATGAACTAGATACTCCACACCACTTAATTTACTGATTTCAAGTGTTTACTCACCACAATTCATCAAAATAAGTGCATTATTTAAGAGTTCCGCAATAAGAACTGGAGCAACCGCAACAATACCCTCGCTTACCCTTACGAGTGTTCGAGTGATTAAACTACAGTGATTTATTTTGTCCGAATGAATCTTTGAATTGACGAAATTACTTTGTATTTGTTGTTTTTCTGTCGTAAAATGCGTGTCTCGATGCCGATGCCCACAGGTGCCGGTAATAAAGTTGCCGAAGGACGGGGAGGAGGGCTCGACGCCAAAGTTCGGGGACGTGCAGAAGCCCGCGACGCTGGACTTGAACGAGCGTCGCAAGCGTAGCCCGAGCTCGAGCGCGTCTTCGAGGCCGGGGAGTGCGGCTGCAGCGGCCGGCGGGTCCGGCCTCGACACCACCCCCAAGCTCCAGAGGCACCAGAAAATACGCGACCTCGAGGGCTCCAGGACACCAAGTCCGTCTTCCGTCTCGCGCAAGAGTAGCTTTGCTTCCCTTTTCAAGGTATAGATGCCACGATACATACATACATACGTTTTATATTACTATGTATACCTTGTTTTTCACTCTGTGGCCGCGTTTCGTCGCAATGTACGAGTCGGTACTGTGGTACCATTTCGGCTGTTGGAACTTTGCAACCTGAAATATTTATTCATACATCAATGATTGAGTATTTATTTTTATACTCCCATGCCAATTGAGGGAATTTGAGAAGTTTATATTTTGGTTAACGGTGATTAAACCTGTCGAAAAAGTAACACAAGGTTTTTGTTTTCTTTCAAAAATAGCGTGGCGCTTTGTAGACTTGTACTTATAGAGGTCGAGTGGAGTTTTAAATATTTATAACACGTGGTGAAGTAGACGTGTGCAGAAAGTAGGAGTAGTTTTTTTTTTTTTTTTTTTTTCCAGTGAAAAACCCATGTAATTTTTTCGAGCGAAAATAGTTATATCACCACGCATGATTGTAAAGGTAGATTTATCAATGCTGAAAGAGAATATATATTAATAGTATTTTTTTTTTGCAAGCAACGTGGTTATTCAAATTGAAAATTATTTTAAAAATGTTTAGAATTTATTCCATTTTCATAATTTAGAGGGTGCGTGGAAATTAATAATTTTTTTCCATTAATATGTAAAAACTACAAGGCGAATCAGCTATAAGCTCATACAATGAATAATAGATACAAGAATAGTTAAAAGTGTGTTGGCCTAATTTTTCAATTGATTTTTTTTTTTTTTTTTTGTACGTTTAAGGCATTTAAATGTCGATGACCACAATTCGTATTTTTAAAATAACGTTTTTATTTCATTAAAACATTCTTAATATATTTTTTTATTAAATTTTAAATTGGTATTTTGTTATTGGATTACAATCGTTACGATACAAATATTTCACGATATTTTTTATAAAAAATGNCGAAATACATATTGTCAAGGTTTAATGTCAACAGATTTATGTATAGATAATAACTTTGCATTAATTGTCAATTAAATGTTTAGGGTGCCGAATTGCTATGGTAGTTTATATTTTGTGCTCGATCAAAACCACCAACTATTTCGATGACAATGTATGAAATAACTAATCTCTTAAATAAACACGAAACAATGTAACCATATGTCAATTTAATTAAATAAATGATATAAAAAGTAGAAAACCCCCAAAAATAAAAGTTTAAATATGATTTCATAAGGTAAGATGTTCAAATTCGCTTGCTTATCAGGTGTACAAGTTGAACGCTCTCACCCAGCCATCGAAAACTTTTTTCATCAGCTATAATAGGAGAGTGTCTCGTTCGAGTACTCGAAGCAAACTTTGACCAAATTAAAGGGTGCAATTTTACATTAATGTTGATAATTTCAAGCTACACCGCAGGAATGTCGTTACAGTAAACGTTAATTCTTTCGAGCACGTTTCGACCGCCGAAATTTGGGAAGGATTTGTTTCCCGTCATTGAAGTACTCTTTTAAGTGAAGGGTAACCCGCTTGAAACTTCAAAATTAAGTATATACATTTTCCTAAGTATTAATTGTGTAGCCCACGATGGAAAAAAAAAAAATCATTTTTCACGACATTCACAATCATTTTTTGCTTGTCAAAGAACACTGTTGGAATTACATCAACTTTTATATCGTTGAAAACAGTTTTAGATGTGCCTAATGTTTTTCCGTTAACTTGGAGATAAATCAACTTTACGAAATCGTTGCATATAGGACACAGCTCAATTTTTCTCAAACTGCCCGTATTAATTCAATAACCGTTGGTGTGTATTGCTTAACATTTGTGATTTTGAAACGAAAAATGGGTGAATTTTTTTTTAAGCGAAAACACTCTGCTATCATTATTTAAAACGTTCGTCACAACAAAACGTGATGATTCCAAATAATACCTCGAAAATATCGCTTGATACCTTTGATTACGTAAGGACTAATCAAAATACTCTCATCACGCACAGCATTATTGTGTACAATTTGTGTTAAAGTGTCGATGGTAATGTGTTTTAGTAAATGTGTGCATAGAATTGAAAAAAAAAAAGTGTTTAAATTTTCAATCTACTCGCGTATCGAATTTTACGCAAAAGTTTGTATGGAGTGAAAATTTAAACACACGATTGCGACTGACAAGTTTCGGGGGAAGAATTCATCAGCAATCAGCTCGATTTGCCCACTTTTTAAAATTTCTAAAAAAAATCTGGCAAACACGTAGAATACACACATGTAGGTACTTGTAGCGTGCACAACACACCCCACATTTCACGTGTTGATCAACGTATAATTATTTTTCATAGGCCAATGTACTTACCATTAAACATTTCACTTTCATAGTTAACGTCACGTTGGCGCATCATACATTTCAAACACACCGGTAGTGGCCGTATTATGCAAATGCCTCTTTAGCATAATCATTTTAGACGTAAGTTTAGCTGCACGTGGCACCCACACGTACACAACTTACATATTGTTAGCGCCGATCGATGGCAATTGAGCAATTACGAGACCAGACCGTAAAAGAGACTTTTCGCCGTCCAAAGATCGATTCCGCGATTAAAGCTTCGCCAACACACAAGTTTCGACTCATTGCCCGATTTGAATTTACAATCAGTTTGCCGGATCGACCGGTTAACTTTTGAAATTTACGCTCCACTTGAATTCTTCCCCTGGAAACACGCGAGCTTGGGTGAAAAAAAAAACAACAGATGATCCTAACGAGATTGAAATTGAAAAAAAGGGTCGAGGTGACGCGGCGAGCATCCAGAGCCAGGAGTCACCGACGACGACGTGCTCGAGGCGCACGAGTCTCGCGAGCAAACTCAAGGACACTGCCGAGAGCCTGCGGAGTCGCTCCAAGAGCCGCGAGCGCCCGGGCTCGGGTGAAAAGTCCCCGGGTGGTAGGAGGTCCGGCTCCGGGGGTATGTTTTCCTCGACCCTGAGCCTCTTCAGGAAGCGCGAGCGCAAAAAGAGCGGCTGCGACATCAGCTTGACGGACCAGCTCGACGCCGAGGCTCATGCGGCCCTCGACAGCATTGGACACGCCGACTACAGCTACCAGATGCACCAGACTGTACGTATACGTATCATCGTTTTATTTATTTATTTTTTTTATTTATTATTATTAGCTACCCAGTACATATTATGGTACATGATTGACTAACTACTACACTGTAAATCCAAGTGTGTTTAAGTACAGGTTGAAGGTGTGTAAGTGTAGTTGAAATTTTTATTTTTTATAAAATATATTGTGGTGGCGTAGATTATAATTTTAAGGACAACCAGAGCTAAGGTGCACCAAAGTGGTTAACTAATTTCACTTAACTGGACATATTTGAATGAGAAAAATCAATGTATAGGAAAGCTGTGGAGTGAATAAACTTGTCCGTCACTGGTTTAACTCGCCCAAAAATGTGTAAGGTTCGCGACAGGAATGGTTTACTCTCTACAGCCTTCTCATATCAATCGTTAACGAATCAAATATTTTATTTTGATTCAGTTTTTTTTGAAACGTTTAACAAGACTATACTATAATGCATTTTATAAAAACGGAAATTTGTGTACTTCAACACACTTGGATTTTACAGTATACATTTGTGGTTCATACTCATTATTACTTATTTTTTGTGAGTTTGAATTAAAATAACGCAAAATAATATGAAATGAAATAAAATATATAACGTAGCATAATATACACATTAGCCTGAGAAGTTATTTCCGTATAAATTTAACGAACATTTGAATGACCATCGAGACTAATTGGTTCCAATGCAATTTCATCTGCAACGCATTCTTGGTGCATGATCTATAGGGATTGTTGTTTTCCAGCCGAGTCGCAAGGGCCAAAAGGAGGACGTGATATTCATAAGCCTGTACGGCGAGAACGACGAGTTCCGGAACCAGCCGGAGGAGCCGGAGAGCGAGAGCTTGGCGGTAACGCCACCTCCGCAGCTCGAGAGCCCGGGCAAGGGCCGCGAGGACTCGTTCGACGCGTCCAGCCCCATGCAGACGTCGGTGAACATCGTTTGCACCGACGCCACCATCGAGCACCATCGAAGGACGGTAGGGGGGATTTTTTTTTTTTTTCGCTCCCAAGTAGAACAAGCCGAGGTTTGGTCGGACGAGGGGTGGTGACCTCTGGCTGTGGGGTTTCAGAGAAGGAGCGAGAGGAGGCGCGAAGGCGTGAGGATCTCGTCGTCGTCGGGCGACAGCACCAAGATGCCCGAGAGCCTGTCCAGGGACTCGCACATCTGCAAGAGCGAGTCAAGGGACTCGAGGATCGCCCCCACCGACAGGAGGGACTCCGCGGTTGTTGGGTAAGCATTTCCATTCAACGGTCCCCGGATAAAAGCACTCGTCACGCGCGATTTCACGGGGGACGCGGGTCCAGTTTGAGAGAAGCTGATATAAAAGTTTGAGCGCGCGCTTGGCGAAGCCTCTCCATTTTCTTCAGAGAGACTTTCTCGCGATCATCATGAAAGGCGGGAAAAAGTTTTCGCGCGTGGAATCACGAGAACTCGGACGACGAATCACTTTATCCTTTTTCCTTCGACTTCCATACTAGCGAAATACATATACGATTGGCCATCTCGAGTGGTACAGTATAAGAGCCAGGGGGCAACAACCACTTGAATGACTTGGAGGGATTGTCTTGCAATGTACGTTTTAGTATATAAGCAAGTAGTTGTGATAAAGTTAGTACACAATAGTATAAGCAGCTACAACTGTGCAAAATGTAAATACGCTTGAGATAACAATTTTTGTTGAAATTGAAAAAAAGAGATCCAGTATCCCACTCACTCTTGTCTCGCTTCAAAAGCAATGCAAATAGAAAAGTTACATAGATTTGAGTCGAGTATACCTCAGTTTCTTCATCAGAACAGGTGGTTGAACAGCGAGGGACCGTCTCGTAGATTCAGTTCTAGGGTAAGGTATAATGGTGGGTGACGTGGTTGAACCGTTTGCCCCCAGGCAATCGTCGACGGAGACGCACGAGGAGATCGCAGCGCGAGGCGAGCACCGGCTGTCGACGAGCTCGTCGAGGGACTCGATCGGCCGTAGGCCCGAGGTCCCCAAGCCCAAGCGCAAGTCCCGTAGCTCCCGGCCCTTGTCCGCCCCGACGGAGCCGCCACCCTTGCCCCCGACCCAACAGCCAAAGACCGTTGGGATGAACGGGAAAGTGTCCTCGCGACCGCCGTCCATGGCACTGGCCACGACGGTGACGACGGTGACGACGACGACGACGAGCACTGGTGTGGTAGCGACGGGGGTGGATCTTGGGGTGCCGGACGCGGGGTTGGCGAAGGCGCCGAGCGTAGTGTCGGACCTCGACAGGAACAACAGCTCCGAGTCGGAGCGGGACTCGGAGATCGACTTTATCAGGAACAAGGCGAAGAAGGGGGTCGAGGAGCTGCCCGACGAGAGGAAGGGCCTCTGCTACGAGGAGAGCTTTGAGGAGGACCTGCCTTACGTGCCCACGACCCTGCCCATGGAGAAGAGCGTCGCCATTCCCATACTGCCCATCAAGCAGAGGCTCCACGAGGGCATGAGGTTGCATTTTTTTTTTTTTTTTTTTTTTTTTTTTACCTTTTTTTTACCTTTTTGCTTTCTTACCGTACTTAGAGCCTGTCTGGCTCTCTGAATTCGAGTTTTTCACAAACGAGCGGCTGAATTCGTGCAAAACGTTGCGTCTTGCACCAATCTACAGCCAGAGCAAAAAGTGTTTTTTAGACAACAGAATTAAATTTTGATATCAATCTGTTACCATATCCAACTGAGTATTAGTATCAATATTCTTACACTGAATGGGAAATAACAAACGCTTTTTCACCCATTTTAAAGCGTTTTTCGATATTAAGTATTTTTATGACAACGCTATAGGTGAAATTGGTCAATACAAAAAAATGTATTTTTACAAGATCTATAATTTCCGTGTGACACATTTTGTCTAAGAATGTAATGCACAAACATTACATGGCGTAAAATGATTTTTGGCGATTCGTTAAGAAGATACTTTGAGAGAAAAAATTTACGTTACAAAAAAGTTTTATTTTGATGAGCTCTACTTTTCTTGTATTTAACGTTTTGTTGTAGAATTTGAATTTATTTTTGTAACAGACAAGATATACAACTGCGTCTTTGATCGCAGATGTGTGAAATATATGTAAAAGAAGTTACACCTGAAAAACTGGTTCTTTAGTCCAAAAAAGCTGTACTGCAAATGCCGTCAAAATCTCTCTTTCCGACGAAACTTGGTCAATTTTGAACCATCCGGTTATACATCCAACTTGAAGTTACGAACAAAATATCAGCTCATTTGGATTATAATTACTTGAGTTAGTTGATAAACATGATAGTGTAAAAATACATACTTCCACACACACACACACACACACACACACACACCGGGTGACCAACTCAGATCACCCTCGTATTAGTTTCCCATGAGAAGTAGACGATTCAAAAGTGGTTACGCACACTTTGCTCTGGCAAAATTGTTCGTGCCCAGCAACTCACGATCGAGCGGTGTTTAACCATCGGGTGGGGGGGTTTGTCAGGACGACATCCATCGACAGGCCGCGCTCGACGACGCCCATCAACCCCCAGCTGCTGGACGAGTACATCCAGCACGCGCCCGAGGGCCAGCAGCGCCAGCAACGACGGCTCCAGAGTAAAATGCGGATCTCCCTGCCCCGCGAGGACAGCTTCAAGCTAAAGTCGCCCCACCGGCCGTCGACCCACAACACCTTCACCGAGTTCGCCGGCCGCGTGCCAGCCAGTAAGTCCGGCAACCAAACCATGTCGCCCAGCCCCCCTCCACCACTGCCTCCCAGAGCACCGACCACCGTCCTGACCCACCCGCGACACATGCAACAAGCCAGGCCGACCAATTGGATCAACTTCGAGGAGATACCGGAGAAGCGCAAAGCGCCCAAGCGCATACAGACCATACCCAGGCTCGAGGACGACTCGAAGCACGCCCACCTGCCACCCGGTGCTGCGGGGATCGTGGTATGGACACCCACTTAAATGTATTTCAATTCTCGATTGCTGCGTTATATTTATTTCTTGTGTTTTTCGTTTGGTGGGGAAAACAGGGGAGTAGCCAGTACAGCTACGTGCAGCCCGAGGAGTGTTGGTGCGAGTGCCACGAGGAGTCTAGGCGCGCCTCGTCGAGGAATCACCACCACCACCACCACCACCACCATCATCCACCGGGGACGTCGTCTTCCTCGTCGCCGTGTCCTGTACAGGGTAGTCGTCGCGCCGACCTTCCGGCTGCGGAGGATAACGGTAGTAGTGGTAGTGGCGGGGCGTGTAACGGCGCCGGGGCTGTCAGCAACACGAACGGCGACAGGTCCAGCATCGTCAGGTAACCAAGCCCGCACGGATCTTGCCCATTTTTCACTGACGAACTATTAACATTCGACATTGTTGATTAACATTGTTGTACAATGTGTATATAAGTATACCCAGGGATGGCAAGTAGTGACTAATACAAAAACAAAAGAGACTTTTCAAAACTAATCAAAACATATTTCGTACCATCGGCGTACCATTGATGAATTGCCGTCCCTGATTATTACCTATACATATTTAATTATAATACACACACACACACATTGTGTGTACGGCTATTGTGTATATTTTATTGATTGTCTAGCCGTGTGTAATACATTTGTTTTTTTTTTTTTTATTATTATTATTTCTATTATATTTTTATTAGTGCCTCTACACATGCGCACATACACACATACCTACGATTAATATCTTACTTTGATATACGTACATCATCACGTTTCGAGTTTACATTTTTTTAAAATCAAACTTGTGATCTTGATAAATTTATATTACTGTGGGGTATAAACTTTTTTTCGTCCTACTTTTTATGAATAACTACTCACGCTGGTAACTGTCAACAATAAAAATTAATACATTGTTTTTAATATTGCTACCTCTGTATTGTACAAAAGAATTTTAGATGATTTTAAATTTAAATTGTTAAAATTAAAAGTAATATTTGTTTTAAACAATATTTATTTCGGTTATTGTTCCCAAAAAAACAGAATCAACGGAAAAAAAGTTACGCACCTAGATGGACCTTGCAGGTGACATAATGTACACCAATCAGATTATTGTAATTTTCTAAATCATTATTCTAATAGACATGTTTTATTTGAATCTGTGCGAATAACGAAAACGTAAATGTACCGTTAAAAACTGAATATTGAATTTATTTTAATCAAACTTTAATTTGTCTATCATAAGTGTAGATGGACTTGAAAATTTTTTTAATTCAACACATTTATTATAGTGAATATTGTATGATACGTGGATTAAGGTCAAGATCGATAACACTGGATTAAAAACCCGTCTGTTTGCCATTTGACCCACGCAAATAAACAAAACTATTTTTAATTTTTCGATATAATGTACAGAATTTTTGTGTTTCATATTGTGTACATTTTTTCCAGAGCCTTGTATAAATTCCTCAAGTATATTGTATTTTAATTATACATACTTACTCCAACCTTTTTAGGTAAAATAATGAAAATTTTTGTTATCGAAGTTGATACTTTAGTTTTATACATTATTACTTCAAAAGCAAAGCAACTGCAAAAAAATCAATACAGTAGACATAGAGATACACACGAAAGCTTGAAAGAAAATAGATAATTCACTCAAAGTAAACAATGCATCGATGCTTTTGTGACTAACCACCAAAAATTATTAATACAATTATAGCTTTTTTGTTAAAAGTAAGCGCACGTACACAAACGTGTGGGTACTTTAACTAGTTATTACGATGAAATAATCAGTAAATTTTTTATGTTGCATGGAATACTAGAGAGTCGTAAAAGTAACAAGGATATGTATCGCATGCATTGCATCCAAAAAACCAAGTATAAACATTTTGAAATACATATTTTTTGTAAGATATGATGTACCTATACCATTTGCAATCCAAAGTGAATTTGGCAATAAAACTTGAGGGATGTTCCAATAACGTGATAACAAAAACAAAAATGTTGATAAAAAAGAAAAAAAACAATGGACGCTCCGAGATAGAACTGTTGGACAGAAAAGTTGAAACAAAATTCTTGACTGTGATTGTGTATACCTTTGTGATGGAAAAAAAACATTTCAATAATAATAATAATCGAAAACAGTTTGCAAAAAAAAGAGATAGAGCACTTACAGCGTCGTAGCTTTGTCCCGTTGCGTATACACGTAACGAAAGGAGAACCTCATCTCTGTGTTGTAAGTAATCTACATAAAGTAATTTTTCTCATTAGAACCAAGAATCATTGTCATTCATCTTAGTGTATAGCATCACAGCAAATAAAAAAAAATAATAATAATAATAAGCAGACTGTAATGGCTGTGAAACAGCCGTAGTTGCATGAGCTTCTTTTCATCCAAACGAGTACATTGACTGTATAGTTGGAGAGAAAAAAACAATTGTCATTGGCATTTCTTCTTTCATCAAAAGATCATAGTCAGTCAGATATCATTTCTCGAACATATATTTATTATACGTAAATACAGTTAAACGGACGCCAACATTAGTACAAAAAGATGTTCTAACTGAAAAATGGAAAAGGTCCCTTGCCAAGTTTCACTTAAGCCCATTGTGGGTTCATTTTTTTTTTAAATGGGGGGGGGGGGTTCGAAGCTGGGGGCACGAACCTTTGGTGATCCAGTAGAAATCTGTTTCTGTACTTCCAGTGACAACAGCTCGCTCGAGGGCAGCTTGAGCGCGGATTACACGGGCACGCCCAGCGGCCAGCACCACTTGACCGTTACTACCGGGAGCAACGAAGGCACGAGGCCTTTCGCCATGGACCTCGACGTCAGCTCCAATCGGTCTAGCATCATATCCCAGGAGGAGACTGAAGACGAGCGCACTTAAGTGGCTTGGCTTTTTTTTTTTTTTTTTTTTTCTTTCTTTCACCGATCATCCTGAGACACGTTTGGAACGACTTTGGTTTTTGCTCAGTTAGAGGTGAGCCGTTTGCGTTCTGAACCGGATGATTCAATCGGGAAAACAGTTCTTTTATCGTGCAAACAGAGAGGCCGAAGGATCCGATACCTTTTGAAGTTTTTTTTTTTTTTTTTTTTTTTTTTTTTTTTTTTTTTTTTTTTNCGCGCGCTGGAGACGCACGTTTTTGGCACACACCTCGCACGGCAGGAAAATAAAGGAATACGTAATTATTGCCGACCGGATATTTGGTCAATTTAAAGTCGCACTTATGAGTACACTGCCTCGTATTTTTTTTTTTTTTTTTTTTTTTTTTTTTTTTTTTTTTTTTTTTTTTTTTATTAACTTGATGTTAGTCGAGTCATTACGTGCAGTTTGTACGAGGAACGAAATAATTGTTGTTATTGTGATTAATTTACTCGTCCTTTCGTCGAGGCGACGGAGAAGCGGCGTTAATCGTATGGTTGTTTTTACTCGGTCAAAAAAAATAAAAATGTTATCTCGTGTCGTCGCACACAAACATACACCAACGTTACAAATTCGTGGATTCGATGAATGTATGGAAGTTTGTAATTTGGTGTTAAAAAGGGATATGGGAACTTACTAGATCCTCAAAAATTAGGAGGAAATCCTCCGTTACCCACAAATTTTTCCTGCTTAAATGGGTATGTTTTTATTAAATAAGTAGATTGATTCCAAGTTCGGTAGGACCACAAAAAGTTTCACGGGGTTGAAAATCGTTTATAAAAGTAGTTGAACCAAAAAGTTAAAAATTGTACATGTGGTTTTCTATAATATAGCGGTGCAGTAACAGTCAAGGATAAATATAAATACATGTGCTTGGTAAAGTATGCAATTTTCTCACTAGTCTTTGTGTTATATTTTGGGTCCATGCATTTATCGAATTCGCAAATTCTAGTTGGGCTCACAATTATGGCGTATAGTCTGAAATAAAAAATTTTTCGAGGAAATTTTTCTTACAATGTTATTTAATATAAAACTCTTGTTGAAGGTATGTTTGCGCGTATGCTCTTTAACAGTATTACAAAAATTTCATGCCATTGTTTGTACAATTGCTTCTTGTTTTTTAAAAGTCGTCCTCAACTTTTTCATGTGTGCAAAGAGAGAATTTGAGATTTTATCGAACTATTAGCAAATTGTGGCAATTTTCGGACTTTTAGAATTAATTACCTCCATTTTAAAATTAAAGTGCGGTACGGTGAAATTTCGAAAATTTGTTGTTGAAAATAATTGTTGAAAACTTTTAATGTACAATTGTACACTAGGTATCGTTATTAATAATATTAAAGTAACTTTCACATAGATGATAACCAAATACTTTAGGTTTGTATTATGAATGTTTATTCTTTGCATTGTATAATTTTCATTGAACTTTAATTCAATATCGATGTAATTATAAATCAATCATACCACTAACCAAATTGTTCAATTTTTATTTATTGATTTTTGTAAAAGATGTTATGGTAACACTACTGTCTCTTCGGCTGCCACAAAGATAGATAAATAAGTAAAAATTGAATATTCATAAAAAATGTGAGTAATAGTAATTAATTAGTCAATTTTATTTAAAAAATTTTTTTTTAATTGAAAAAAAAACCTTTACGAAGAGGTGAATTTAGAAGTAAAAAAGTAAGTAATTAAAAGATGCACTATGGATTAAAAAAAAAATTAAAATTCTATTAAAATGTGAATTCAATTCGAAGTTTTACCGCACACTACTAATGTTAATTATTGTCGAGTAAAAAGAGTAGCTTTTACAAAAAAAAAAAAAAAAAAAAATCATTGAACAAATACAATGATACGAAAAATGCGAGAGAGAGAGAGAGAGCTGTTTTGACTGCTTTTTTGCTATTAAAAATTTGATTGTTGAGCAATGTTCAAATATACAATTAAATTAAGAATATACTTTCAACTTTGACTGATTTATCGCTTTTAATGAAATAACGAAAAATAAAATATTTGTCTCGTACACAAGTCGCATTAAAGACATGCATTGAGAATAAAATAAAATAATTATTGCCAGAAAAAGACATAGAGATATAAAAAACATGACGAAACAGATACTAAAGCTTGTGCTTTTCAGCCATCACGAGCCTTATGTCCCCGTCGATAATTTATTTTCCTCGTCGTTTGTATATAATAGTATATAAATAGAAATAAGGGATGTATATCGTAAAATAATGTTGCAAGGGAAGCAAGGCATGATGATGCTTAAAACATGTTATTTATTTTCTCATATTATTCATAGTAATCAAAAAGAGTTTTTTATACTTTAGTTTATACTCCATACATTTTTTAATTTTGATTGAGATTTTGAAAAATTAAATACACAATGGACTTTTGGTTCAAAGAACAAGCCAGAGAGTATAGGTACTTGCTCTGTCGTGTCATCGTAAAACTTGTTAAAATAATATTCAAGCTGATGAAAAAAGAAACCAACAAAAACATGCTGTTGAGTAGAACTGGAAAATCAATTGTAAAAAAAATGCCATAAAGAGTATGTTGATGTGTAAATTGTTAACGAAGCACAAATCTGTAGAAATATATTTTATACAAACGCTTGAAAAAAGACTAATACAAAAACACAATTTTTCTATTAAAAATTTTTGTTAATCGTTAAAGCGTTGAATATGAATTTTATAAAGGCCAAAAAAAACTTTTGTAAAAATTTACAGTTTTTGTCTTTATTGTTATTTCTGCTGTTTAACGTTTTCTTTTCGTACGTCAGAAAAAAAGCATATGTTAAAAAAAAATTCATATCATACATATAAATGTATGGGAGAAATACATTTTTATGATTTCTACAAAGCACTCAATGGCATATTTTCACAGCTTAATCATATTATTTCATTATATGCTAAATATTTATATTAATTAAGAAAAATACAAATGTAATACACACTCGTCGAGAGATGCATCAACGAGTAACTATACTGTGTTCAATCAAAAGTACTAAAAAAATTCAATTATCTCATTACTGTAGTATTAATAACAAAGCCTCGTTAGTTATTATGTAAAGGATAAAGTAAAAAAAAATCTTTATTCACGAATTATTGAAATCATCTTGCATCAGAATTGACGTTTCATCTTAAAATTTTATTATTATCTAATAATTAAATCCAGTGTAATAAAAATTTATGTCATCCTTGAATAACCGGATGAAAATACTTGATGTTTCCTTGTAATTTTTCCCGTTGAGAAGCTTAAAAACGTGATTAATATGAGAGTATTGAAGACAAACGTATATTATGTCATTATAAATTTTAATGTTGAACAGATTTTAAACATCTGGGTTGCAAGAAAAAAAATTTACCCCATAGCAAAATTAATAAAATATGATAATGTTGAATTATGTGTTATTGCTCTCGACCGACGATGGAATCAGGGTTTGCTCTAAGTGTATATTAATGACTTATGCAACATTTTTTATTTCATTTAATTTCTTTGGACTAAATAAAAAGTTTGTGACATTAATTTTTTGCGGAATTTTAAAAGTGGCTTGATTTTTGCTATTATGTGAACTGCAAGCAGAGGGAAGAAAAAACAGAAGAATAATTGATTTTGTGAGCGAAACAGTACACATCAAATAGTTATTTACTTGTAGGAAAAAAAAGGAACAATATTTTAAGAATAGATTTTTTATTTATTCCACTCGTCCTTGTCATGTGCCGATGACTAAATCTTTTATCAATTAAGATATTAAAATGTGTAGAGACATGACTTGTCCCAGGAGAACTTTTTCAACGAACTCAGAATTTTTTATGATTTTCCTTTGCATTTTGTACACAAATTCCAAAAATTATTTATTTGTTCAAGAATTTCGTGAAAAAGTTCCTTCAAAGATCTTAACAATATTCAATTCTATGTAAATAGTGTGCGAGAAAAAAAAAGTGAAAAAATTGCGTATCAAGTACAGAGCCTGCATATGTAAAAAAGAAAGAAAAATATGAACAAATGAATCCAACACGTGTGAATTTTGACTTGAAGCAATGAAAAAACAAAGTGGTTGTATAAATTTAACTCCAAGTAAAAAGATAGAAACAAAGCTTGAAAGAGTCGACAAAGAAATTTCACGTGTATTCAAAAAGTTTTAAACATTTTTCTGTGAGTGTCTTTTTAGAAATCAATACATGGATGGGGCAAACGGCAGCTGGAAATTAATCGACGAATTATTAGAAGAAACGAGAAAAAGTGTAGTGACTAGGTTTCAACTTATCTGCCTCGAAATGTTGCCATTCTACACTTTCCATTACTGTTGTAACATACGGGAGATAACTGTAAAAGTAACCTCGACGAAGTAACAGTAAAAATAAAACAATATATATATATATAGCGATGACTTTTCTAACCCTTTTCTAGAGGCAAATTATAAAAAAAGAGAAAAAAAAACGTATAAAAAATAAATATATAAATAATAGGCGCAAAAGCATGGCGTGTACCTGTTGTTCCTCGACTGTTTTGCAGACACTTTTTGAATGGTTATTACGATGCGTATTCAATTATTTATTTGTAAATTATTACAATGATTGTCGAAGAAAAATTCAGTTTAATGAATTATCTTCAGGATAACTTGTTATTACTTAAAATATTTGGATTTTCATTGTTTCTATGCGTACTATTTTGGAGCGTACATTTTTTTGCTTGATAAATATTAAGTGGTTTCTTTTCTTGAAGAACAATACTCGGAAAAATAAAAAACTGTAGCTACACAAAAAATGACCACACCACTAGAACCTGAAGAAAAATATGTATCCTCCAGCGTTGGGCTAACAGTAAAAGAAAAAAATGAAAACACGAGCATAAAGCGGACGAAAAGAGAGGACGTTCTATTGTGAGTGAAAAAGCCGTGTGGAACGACGCACCTTAGAAAAAAAAAAAAAAAAAAAAACCTGTAGCAATACGTGAGCGTTCATGAATATTTTTAAGATGCATAAAATGCTATGAGAATATAAGATTTAAAAAAAAATTATTAAATAGATAAAAATAAAAAAAAGAAAACAAATAAAAAATATTTAAGTGTTTCTAATGTTATGTACATACAACAATTTGCGAAAGAGAGGTAGGGGGAGAGAGAAAGAGAGAAAGAAAGAGCAAGTAAGAAAAATGCATTTTCAAATGTTAACAATACATTCTGTGACTTGTTCGAAAACCTCTTGTTCGAAAAAAAATAAAATGTTTATGTGTTTTAATTCTTGTGTTGCTCTTCCATTGATTCGACCTTCTCCTTCAAGATTTTTTTTTTTTATTCGGATCCCTCGGTTAC